TGACAAAATATTGCTGCGGCAAAATGTCAAAACTCCGTCATGTATAACATATATATACGTCCTCGACGAACAGAATGACCGCAGAAAGAAAACGAATGGGAGGACCAAAATACTTCTGCTGCGCATCTCCGTGGTTGAAGAGTCCAAATCTCCGCATATACAGGCAGGCAAGTTTAGCGTACGTACGCCTGAAGGCACGGGAGCTGCAGACAACCAAGGAGCCGCTGCAGCGACGGGGGGATCTAGGGCATTTCTTTTCATCCCCCCAGTTAAGTCCTGAGCTTGCTGCTGCTGCTGCTGAACCTCCTGTTCTTGCTGCTGCTGCTGCTGTTGTTGTTGTTTGGCCTCAACAGCACGGTAGAGGGGAAGCATGTGGAAAGTGCCAACAGATGTCGCTTCGTAGCGGTGTAGGCACTGGTCCACACTGCCCTGCTGAGGACTACTGACAGGTCTTCGCTCCCTCAGACCCTGTACTAGCTCGGTCCCCATCTGTGCACCCGGAGCCAAAATCCTACTGCAGTTAGCTATGTACGCCAGGTGGTCCCCTTTCCATTTGTTGGCCGCCATCTGTTGGCTGAGGGTAGTCCAGTCAATCACACGGAAGCATTGTATCAGTTCTTGCTTCCGGAGAGACCAACTAGTCATCTCCATACCTGTTCGCCTTAGGTGCAGCCAGTATTGTAGAACTTCCGCATCTAGGTATTCTCCTAGCTCGTCACCCCAACATCACACTGGCAGCTCCATCTTCATAAATCGATATTCCTTAAGTAGGAGGAAGGATTCCATGCGGACTCCCTTCTCACAGAGAATTGTTGGCCCCATAACATGCGGCGGACGCACCATGCTCTTCTGTAGCAGATTGTTTTACGGCCGTGCGATGTCCCGCCTTAACCTTGAAATTTCCCGCGCTTGTTCTTCTACCAGGGGTCTCTCTGCTACGGGCTGCGTATGTGCTACATTCTGGGGTCTTTCCGTAGGATCCTGAGGAGCAAACGTAGCGGGGGGCAGTATCGTCGCCGCATTGGATGGGCTGGACTCACGTTCCGCGGACATTCTCGGCGACTTTGTGCTAAGTGCCGCTATCACTTGCCGTTACGCAAGTGCAGATCGAGTATTCGCTCGGTGTGCTATTTCTGAGATCCATGGATTCGTGTGGACGGGTAAACTAGATAAAGAAGAGAAGTAATAATTCCCGGAACAGTCCCAAATCGTAATGAACAGTGGACTCTGCTGTTATTACGTATGTACCCTAGGTGCCTACAGTATAGCGTGCTCTGTAGCATCGTCTGTCTGCAGTTAGCACAGGTAGTGTAGCATGAGTTAGCGCAGAGTTAGCTCAGGAGCCTTTCGACGGTTTTGGCATGCTGCGTGTAAGCGCCTGCAAACGTTATACAGGTTCGTTACGAGGCAAAGCATGCAGCGAAGGAAGCTTCCCTGAAGATTCCTTTCGTGCATGCGTGGGGCTGGCTTGTTCTGCCAGTCGCAGCGGGGTGCGCTGCAACCCCATTTCTGGCTGCCTCCTCCCCGGGACACCCTGGCCCTGGGCTCAACGCCCAGGATGCCTAGGTACCGGGGAAGGAGGTCAGCTGCTTTTGGGAAACTCTTGCTTTAAGTCTTTGCCTTCATTGCGGCTCGTCCCTGGTCAGACAAAGGCCAGAGAACAAGCGTTACAGGTAGGTTGCATGTAAGCTAATACACACTCTCTATGAGCGTATTCAGAGGTGGGGCACGCAGTAAAGGAAGCTTCGTTGAGGCTTCCTTGTGCGTGCGAGTGAGGCTGGCTTGTATCACTATAACGCTGGCCCTCTGGTCGTAATCAAGGTCAAAGACGGGCTGCAATGCAGGTAAAGACTTAAAGTAAGGGTTTCCCCAAGACAGCTGACCTCCTTTCCTTGTCCTCGGGCGTCATGGGCGTTGAGCTCAGGGGCTGGGTGTTGCGGGGAGGAGGCAGCGTGAAATGGGGTTGCAGCGCACCTCGCTGTGGCTGGTAATACAAGCCGTTCTCACGCGTGCACACAAGGAAGCTTCAAGGAAGCTTCAACGAAGCGTTCTTTGCTGCATGCTTTACCTCCGAATACCTTATATGCACGCGTGAGCATTTGCCTATTTTTGCATTTGCTTACACGCAATATGCCAAGCCCAAGTGAAGGCCCCTTTGCTAACTGCGGGCAAACCATGCTACACTAGGTCTGCGTAGATAGATGCATACTCTACTTCTAGACTCTAAAAACAACATATCTCTCCTAATATGACCTAAATATTCATGTAATAATCCTTAAAACATATTCCAAATATATTAAGAGGAAATGCGAGAAAAATAAATCTCTTTCTTCACTCCGCAGCGAGTCGCTGTCTCCGCTCCAGCATCAGCCTCAGAGCCAACCCCCATCCTTGGGTGGCTGCCGAGCATTCTTGGCTTTGTTATCTTAACTTTATACCTAAAGTAGTACAACTTCTCTCTATAAGTATTGTATTCGTTCTCTTACGGCGAACTAGGCCTCTGAATGTTCCACTTGAGATCCATTGTAGTGCCTGAGCACTACGCTACCGCAGGAGACCGTACCGTAGGCACGGTGGGCCATGGCGCCAATGTACTGCGCTCATCCTGGGTGCCTATAATTAGCCGTTACACTTAAATTTAGTGCAAGAGTTTGCAGTAAATGCAATGAGGTGAAAATATTTCAGTTTATTCGAGTAAGCTTCCGATTTCACCTAGCTCCACACCTTCCGTTTGCAACGCACTCGCACCCACCACACGCGGTGACCATCTGGCGAGTGACTGCTGCTCCAGGAACAACTGGAAAGGCATGCCACATCTACGCAACTAGTGCAAGACCGCTCAATTAGTCACTAAAGTACACTGATTTCCTTCCTCAATATGAGTCAGCTCCTCTCCATTTCAACGTTGGCTTCGAGACTGCCAATGGGTGCAGTTCCTGCGACAGAAGACGAACTGTTTTTCGCTCGCGAAAATGGCCTCATTAGTAGTGAAACAACCGAAATTGCAGGCGTGGATGCTTCGATCGGAAGACTCCGCCGCAATACTTGGCACCTGATTGCATTCTCTACGTTGGCGGCGTCGCTGGCTTTAGCCTTCTTCATCATGCACTGCTTCATTGCCCTGAAATCCCAAACAAGCGAAGCAGATTACCGAATACGTGCACGCAGCCTTGCAGTTGGAGGCAAAGACTGTCCCGTAAGCGCGGATGAAATGCGGAGCTTTCCGACGAAGCTTGGTACACCGCGTCCCAGCCTAGTCAGAGGGAGAGGAGCAATGGAACAATGATCCAAGCGCGCGGCAATCGTTGTTTGTACTCGTACTAACACTCTTCCGACAGCATGGCTGCGATGCTATTTGCGTGCGGCAACCTCTATGGAGCCAACGAGAGCCTCTGTTGTCTGGGGCTATCGTCTATGCAAATAAAAACGCATGAGGAGGCATGTTCGTAGGGATGCACGCAAAGTCTGCATGAACATGGCTGTTTTAAGCAAATCCCAGTCTTTTAGGAGCCGTGCAAGTGCTTGTCTGAGCGAATGCTTCCTGCCATTTACACCGGACAGAGCAAGAAAGCGCTTGAGGTCAGCTGGCTTCTGGGTGTGCAATTAACTGGCAGCAGCTTCTCTCATCGTGAAGCGGCGTCC